GCTGAAGAGCCTCACGCCACAGCAGCGCCCCCTTTTGGAAATTCTCCAGTCCCACCACTCTGCTCGAGTTCTGAGCCTGTGGCCTCGGATAATTAACAAGACCCCCTTAACCTCGCAGGGCAGAACATTTTCTTCTGTGGCTATTAAAGCCTCAGATACGAGCCTTTGATATTTTTCCTCCTAGAGGAAACAATCGTTTCGCAGTGTTCTAATTACCGTCTGTAATGGAGGGGTCCGGCCTAGTGAATGAGTTTTGCCCTTTAATTATAGCGAGGAAGAATAGCCAGGTTATTGGTTTCCACGCTTGATGTGTGTATGCAGAGCAGATGAAAGGACTGGATTTGAAAGCGCCTTTTAGAGACCTCCCCCTTGCCACATGGGCTCTGGCAGAAGGCCTGGGCCACAAACATACTTTCCTCCCTCTCCAGCAGATGATGAAATGAGCCTTGCGAAAACAGCATCCGCTAGGCGACTCACTCGCTTTATCAGAGTCCCCCGGGAACTCCTTCTGCGAGGAGCTACTGCTCTTGAGAGGTAGATTGGCCCAGCAGCTCCATTGTGGGTTGAGGAGCTGGGAGACTAAAGTTCATCTCAAACTCTGCCTCAAACTTCCAGTTTAGGCCAAAAATACTGGTGCTTCGTGGGGGATCATGAACAGCCACCCTGCCTGCCCATCTTGCTGCATGGAAGTGGAGTCTCAGCTACCTAGGAGGGAGGTCTTGACACAGGAAAGGGGGCCACAGCATGGAAAAGATAGCAATCTTTGGTTTGCCATCTCCCCAAGCTTCCTCCTTCTAGAGCCATGGTGCCCAACACGCTAGCCACGTGTGGCTGTTTGGCCGGTTGAGTGGGGCTTCAGAACTGGTTGGACACCACAGATCTATAAGATGAGCTTTGAGACCCCGTGGACAAAGGCACGGGGGAGGTGCCAGCCGTGAACACCGTGGCAGATTGGAGTCTGTGCTAGACCCTCCACTTCTGAGAGCACAGGAGACTAGACAGAGAGTAAAGGATACGCACCAGCTCTAGAGGCAGGTGTCCACGTGTGGGCAATGGAGAGAGAACTCCTTGCCTACACTGCCCCTACGTGGGCCCTGTGCCAACTTCCAGGCAGTAACTCACTGATACCGAGCTGATCAGAAAAAGAGTTAGCCTGCTAGGTCTGGTCTGCTGACACAGCGCAGCCCGGCGACCCCCATCACCCCCAGTTCATGCAACGCTCCTGCTCGTATCAATCACTTAGCCCCCCTCCCTGTGGGGAGAGGAGCACACCGGGTGGGGTAGGGGAAAGGGTCTACCCCTTATGAGAAACATTTGCCTTTCAGCCAAGCGGTTTTAGAGAAGCTACTTTTTGCGTTTGCTGTCCTCGTTGTCTTTGTCCCCTGGGGCGTTGCCGTCTCCCGCAGTCACCGTCTGGAGCTCCGGCCCACGGAAGCGCTCGAGAAACGAGTCCGGCCTCTGCTCCTCCTCGCGCAAGCTCTTGTTAGCCCAGTCTCGGAGCACCACGACCAGCCGGACTATCCTGGCCGGGGAGAGAAGTCAGAGTCAGGGGTCTGTGCAGGGACAGAACCACGCGTGTTTCAGAGGCTCTGCGGGGTGGTCCCAAACACAGCTGCCCATTCTAAACCGTGCACCACTGGAACATTCCCCAGGCCAGGAGCATGCACATGTTCTCCAGGGTCCTGGGTGCACTGTCTCGGCATCCCAGCCCTCCACACATCTGGACACGCTTATGGCATGCCAAGCGAACACGTGCAGAAGCCAGCAAGCTTGACATCTAAGATCAAACCCCTTAAAGCAAAAGGGATCCCGTGGGATGCGAAACATCCCCAGCTCCCGCTGAACATAGTGGGATCGGAGGGAGTTCAGCTCCGTGCAGGGTTAGGACATAAGCCAGGAAAATGTCTCCTCTTTAAGGCACGAATGAAAAGAGAAGTAAGAGAATGTTAGAACAGCCAGACTGAGTCAGATCAAAGGCCCACTGAGCCCAGGGCCCTTCCTGCCGACAGTGGCCAATGCCAGATATCCCAAAGGGAATGAACAGAACAGGGAATCATCCAGCGATCCCTCCAGGCACCCATCCCCAGGTTCTGACAAACAGAGGCTACGGGACACCATTCCTGCCCATCCAGGCTAGTAGCCATAGATGGACCTAGTAGCCTCCATGAATTTATCTAGCTCTTTTTTTAACCCTGTTCAAGTCCTGGCTTTCCCAGTATCCTCTGGCGAGGAGTTCCAAAGGTTGATTGTGCATTGTGTGAAAAATATACTTCCTTTTGTTTGTTTTAAATCTGCTACCTATTAATTTCATTTGGTGACCCCTAGTTCTGTTGTTATTGGAGCAAGTATATGATTTTTCCTTGCCTACTTTCTCCACACCGGTAATGATTTTGTCAACCACTATCACATCCCCCCTTAGTCTCCTCTTTTCTAAGCTGAAAAGTCCCAGCCTTTTTCAGCTCTCTACATATGGCAGCCGTTCCAAACCCCTTGGCATTTTTTTGCCCTTTTCTGAATGTTTTCCAATGCCAAGAAAGCTTTTTTGAGATGAGGCAACCACATCTGCACACCGTATTCAAGATGTGGACGTACCATGGATTTATATGGAGGCAATACAATATTCTGTCTTATCCCAGTGTTTCTTAAAGTGTGTTTCGTGGCATACCAGTGTGCAGACGGAGGTGTGCCGTGGAGAGAACAGCATTCAAAATGGCCACCCTTAAAGGGGCAAGCCTCTTTTTTTTTTTCCCCCTCAACGACTTTTCCCTGGGGGCTTTTTTTATTTCCCCCTCAACAAAAGAATCCTTGGTGTTCCCCATAAAAAAAAATTATTGTTTGGTGTTCCTCAATCTTAAAAAGTTTAAGAAACACCACTCTATCCTTTTTTTTAAAATGATTCCCAGCATTCTGATTGCTGTTTAATGGCAGCTGCCCATTGAGTGGATGTTTCGAGAGAACTCTCCACAATGACTCCAAGATCTCTCTCTCGAGTGGTAATAGCTACCTTAGTCCCCATCATTTTATACGGATAGTTGGGATTACGTACGTTTTGCAATCTACATTATATCGCATTTATCAGCACTACAAGAGCCGCCTTTGCCCAGTGCGATGGCAAAGGATTGGCCAGAGGTGATGGATTAACCCTTCACTTTGTAAGCAGAGCAGCTGGGCCCAGTCATGCAAAGCCCTACACAGCCCCTGCAAAGGCAGCGATGGCTGGACAGACCTCAGTCTCATCCCTTCATCCCGCGTGTGGCTTCACCCACCTACCTGGACAGACCTAGCCGCCCTTGCAAGTTAGACTGGCCTGGCTGATCTGCATCGTCCAATACAGCCACCCTCTGCAGCTCCGAGGAGGTATCGTCCTCTGCTGACGGGGCCCTGTGGAAGGGAAGGGAGATTGGGGTCACGCGCTGCGTCCACCGCCAGCTACGTCAGATGAGCTAGACCCAGAGGGAATACGAGAAGTCTGTCCTCCTGCTTCCCAGGCCTCTGCTTCTGGACCGGAGCGACTTCCTAGGGTGTCCATGTTCATTCGGACATTCGGACCTGGGCTTCTTCATCCTCCATCCGTGCTAGAGCAAAGCTAACCCAGTGCACCAGCCTGGCAGGGGGGCAGAGGGACGTCCCCTCTGTTACCCCAGCCCTTGGTTTCCTCCACTCAGCCTGGAGAAGTTGCTCCCGCTGGCAATATTTTCCTGATGTTGCTCTCCAAGTACACAAGCCCACCTGGCTTTCTATGGTAAATAGGGTGGGGGACTGCGAGGGCCTGGAATAAAAGTAACCAGGCGGCTTGCATAATGAGATCTAGATTCCCTTTGGATACTCGCCTGGTTTCACCTGCCCTTGGGGTTCGTTTTCCCTTCTAAGGCCCTGATTCTGAGAGGGGGGGTGGTCCAATGGTTAGGGCGCTAGCCTGGTATTTAGGGGACAAGAGTCCTTGCTCCACCATAGATCGGTGGCGTGATCCTGGGGGAGTCACTTAGCCTCTCCATGCCTCAGTTCCCATCTGTACAATAGGGATAACCGCACTGCCTTGCCCCACACAGGTGCGTGGGTAAAGACATTCATGATGAAGTACTCAGATCTAATACTACTAGAGTACTGAGTACAACTAGAGTACTGTTACTACTCTTCCTCCCTGGCTCTTGAGAGAGCAGAGGTCCTTGGCTGCTCACAGTTGGCCCCCGCCTCTCTCTGTCAAGCGCACATTGACCCCATTAAAGAGCTGTTGCTCAGGTCAGGCCTACACTACATGGGAAGGTTGAATTAAGAGACGCAAGCCCAGCTACATTAATTACCTTGCTGGAGTCAACGTGCTTTGATTCGAGTTTCCCCACCGTCCCCACAGCGGGAGGCTGATGGGGGCAAACACTTCCATCAGCTTCCCTCACAAGGAGCAGGAGTTCCAGCCACTGGCAGGGGTGCCTTCGGAGTTTGATTTAGCAGGTCTTTGCTAGACCCACTAAATCAAACTCCAAAAGAGCGACTGTGACAGCGTCGATCTTCTGCGTAGTGAAGACAAGCCCCAGTGATCTCCCTCTATCTTCCACTGGCTTGGCCACCACGCTGACCAGCACAAAGGTGGCCTTCCAGGCCTGCTCAGCCCACTAGCCTTCCAGCACCCCAACCCTCTGCCCTGTTCACTGAAGCCACTTGGACTTCCCTATATTGACTGGGCTTGGTCCACGGATCTCCTGCAGGTCTCTATCAGATCTTCAGCATGTCATTCTCCTTTACTGGCCTCCAAATTCACCTCAAAAAGTAATTAGCACCTTTCTTCCTCCTTGGTCAGTGCCTGTCTGACTAGTCTTATGTCCATATAAAACTACAGGCCTTGGACATTTACATTTTAAGCTCTCCGAATAGTAGTTTGGGGCTGAAAGTTCTCTGCAGAGCAGTTTCCCCCACTCAGCTGGGCCTCACTTTCTTCTCTCCTCTAATTGTTCTTGGTCATCCCTGCAGGTAGGTTGTGAAAAAGTCTAATTTGTAGCCATTTCAATGGGGCCATGCAAGGATCTAACACGTCCTCCCTCAGAACCAGGTGTCCATCTCCACATACACTGTCTTCATATTGACCAGTGGTTCTCCCCACCGTGCCCGAGATGGCCAGGTGCCCCGGGGAAAAATCGGAGGCCCAACCATTCTCTCACCCTACGGATAGACTGCCCTTCTCGGGCAAGTCATTCCTGTTCCACACAAGCGCCGCCTGACCTGCTGGGACTGAGTTCAGTCCGCTCCGGATCATCTTCATTGTGGGTTGTCACAGACAGCCTGGGGGGGTGATTGGCAGGCGAACTCTTCAGACCATTGCTATGTCCCGTCATCCTCCATGTGAGGAAGCCGCCGGCCTGAGCCCTGCCCCAGGAGACAGGAAAGAGCAGAAAATAATGAAGAGCTGAGAGGAATGGCACACACACGTCACACCAGGGACCGGGCTGTCCCCTGCCCTCTGTACACAGCACTCCTGAAAGCATCTGCTGGTGGAAGAGGATGCAGCTAAGAACAAAGACTTTGCTGACCCAGCTCCTACTAAAAAGGAGATCCCCATTCTGCCTCCAGCAGTGGCTTCTACTGGAGGAAGACGGACATTATCCACAATGCATTTCATCACCAGAGGCGTTATTACAAACCTTGGTTGTGGGGCTACATCAGGTCATGGACTATCCATAGGTAGGTTGGGGTTAACCCACAGGGCGGCAAACAGGGAGCTTGGGTTCTCAGCCAAGTATTGTATTTCTCGGCTCACCAGTTTCCCATCCTAATCTAGCACTAGCTACACTTACGACCCTGCCTTTAGGTCATCGTATAAAGGCGCGTGTGTCTCCTGACAAGGCTGCAAGTGCATATGGGTACAGACAGCTCACAGAGGAGAAGTTGTTTCCCCTTGGACTT